ATTTTTATTAAAAAATATTCATATTAAATATATTTTATACTTATAAATTTTAATAAATTCATATCTTATTTTTAATTTCAATTTTTCTATCTTATTTAAAATTATTATTTTTTATTTTGTAAAAAAATACATAAAAAATTACATGTTAAACTGTATATTAATACAAATTAAAAATATAAATAATATGTACATATATAATATGCTTGCAATTGAACCGGTTTATGGTTCAATTTTCCTTATTATTTTTGTGGTTTATGGTTTGTAACGTAGCAAGTTGTTTTAGAGGGCCCAAAACCCTAATATGGGTGATTTAGTAACCCAGAACGGGCCGTTCCCGAACTGGAACGGGCCGTTCCAAACTACTAAATTGACTTGTAAACGTAGTTGAGAACGGGCCGTTCTGGAGGGAGAACGGGTCATTCCAAACCCCAAAACGGGTCATTCCGGAAGGAGTACGGACCGTTCTAGATGGAGAACGGACCGTTCTAGATGAGTCACAGAATGAGCCGTTCTGATTTCAGAACGGGCCGTTTTGCATGGAAATTTTGTACTTGGTGAAAGAGTACATAACGGGTCGTTCCGCATTCGGAACAGGCCGTTCTGGCCACTCCGGTACCTCTATAAATAGGGGTTGGTGGTTGAGGAGAAGAGGAGGTTTTTAGAAAGAAGGACTATGGACTAGGAAGCTTGCTTTGGGTGGATTGAAGTTTCGGGTTGAGCTTCGGAAAGGGAATTTCGCTTCTTGGCTATTCTGAGCCAATCTTCAAGTAAGGGAAGCTAGATTGTAAAGTTGTTAGTTGTATGTGAGTTGAGAACTCATTTGGGTGCTTAGGTTGATTAGTATCATTTGGGTATTTAAGTTGGCATGATATATGGGTTGTAAATATGTAGTATGAGTTGTGTTATGTGATGAAAATTTTGTGTGTGTTCTGGCCACTCCGGTACCTCTATAAATAGGGGTTGGTGGTTGAGGAGAAGAGGAGGTTTTTAGAAAGAAGGACTATGGACTAGGAAGCTTGCTTTGGGTGGATTGAAGTTTCGGGTTGAGCTTCGGAAAGGGAATTTCGCTTCTTGGCTATTCTGAGCCAATCTTCAAGTAAGGGAAGCTAGATTGTAAAGTTGTTAGTTGTATGTGAGTTGAGAACTCATTTGGGTGCTTAGGTTGATTAGTATCATTTGGGTATTTAAGTTGGCATGATATATGGGTTGTAAATATGTAGTATGAGTTGTGTTATGTGATGAAAATTTTGTGTGTTGCTAGTACATGATTAAATATTTATTAATGATGTTGTTGGTGATGGAATAGCCTCCTCTCTCTCCCTGGATCGCGCATTCTCCTCCATCAATCCGTTGATCAATGCTATCATCTCCTCCATGGTAGGGTGTTGTGAGTCGTTGTTGGATGTGCCGCCTCTCGCCATGGTAAAGTGCGGGTTCTCCTGTGTTACTTGGGGCGTAGGAAAAGTTTCACCGTAGACCTACGGACTTTATGGGCCCCGAGAATGTAGGGATTTCCTTAACCGTTTTGATCTGGCTAATATTTGGTGAGGGACAGTGGGACCTTGCCCTTGCTATCGGGTAGTCCCTGTATGCGAGAGTTGTGTCGGCCCCCGACCGACCATACCCGTACTGAGGGTACAGTCGGGTATTGGCCGAGTTGGTTCTTGTAAGCGGAAGGAATCGGAAATATACCGACCAGGTTAAGTAGAGAAACCAAGTCGAATAATAACCGAACCACTCTTAGAGGGGTGATCGGCGAGAGCTACAGTCGGCCTGACATATCGGCGAGAGCTACAGTCGGCCTGACATATCGGCGAGAGCTACAGTCGGCCTGACACAATCGGCCTGACATATCGGCGAGAGCTACAGTCGGCCTGACATATCGGCGAGAGCTACAGTCGGCCTGACACAATCGGCCTGACATATCGGCGAGAGCTACAGTCGACTTGACATACGTAATAGGTAGGTCGGAATCTGACCTGGACCGTACAAAACCTTTAAAATCAAAACAAACAAAAAATTGCATGTAATTTTTTTAATTAAAATTTTATTTTTCTATTACTTTTTACATTTTAAACTTTTCCCTTTTTTCCTTTTATTGAATTGAGTTGAATTCACATTTTCTTAACTTATTGTAAAGGTGAGTCAAATAATTAAGTTACCTCATTTTTTAAGCACAATTGGTGGTGGGCTAGCTCCAATGACAATTTTATACAGAGTATAATGTCAAATGAAAGAGAAATAAGATCTAATACTACATAAATGAAAATGAAAACAAGTCCCATAAAAATGACCAAGCATGCATCGTTGATACTTAATGGAGTGTGTTTGATTTTGGTTAGGACAAATCCTCAAACAGATAAGTACTGGGGTAGTTGCTTCCGAAACAGAAACCAAATACAGAGTTGGGTTCTTAAAACAGCCACAATAACAACAATATTATGACAAAATTACAGTAAGACGTGAAGTTTCCCCATTATTTAGTAGCAGCACACGAAAAGAGAACAAGTGGTAAAGGATTTTCATCTTCATTTGGTGATAGAATCAGTGTTGGGTTTGAATAGCTCAGCTAATCTGGTGGCCAAACTCTGTTTTGCTTGAGGGGAAACGCCATGCTTACCTATCATTGACTCCAGCACAGCCTCTGAAAGCAATTTATTCTCAATAATGGTACTCCCAACTTCCGGAATGGATCCATCTTTTGAGAAACTTATCTGCTTGCAACACATATTGATCTATAATTAAAAATTGAAAAAAGAGAATAAAGATAGCATGTTGTTGATAAGAAAACTAACCGCTAGGGATCCTTTGGGGAAGACTGTGAAAAGGATAGAGGAGCCAGGTGGGAATGTTTCATCTTTGAAAGCAGTAACAAATTGCTCCATTGCTTTGGCTTCTGCATCAGTGTAAATCCCAAGAGACTTCCAAATGGCAACACAATTTTCAGACACTTTGTCCGCGTATTGCTGCCCCGTCAAGGGTAAGATCATAGTCACCCTAGCAAATTTCTCAAATGGACCTGCACACAACATATCACTTCATAAATTTATAACCGTTCATTTACGTTTCATTTCTCACGCATTATTTTCAATTTTAATAATAATTGAAGTTGATTATGCAAGTAGCAAGTCAACTCTATGCATCACTCCATAAAAACACAAAAGTTCAAGGTATTCTATTGAATTTAAGGCATAAACATGTTTTTAATCTCTATAAAATTGATAATTTTGATTTTAATTTTTTATTTTTTATTTTTTTTTCATCCTTTTGAAATTTATAAACATTGTTTTTATCTTTGTAAAATAATTAAACTTTGATTTTAATTTTTGTAAAATATTTTTTTTAATTTTTATCTTTTTAAAGTTTAAGCTAACTATTTTTAATCTCTAATAATTATTTTAAAGTAGATAAATAACATTTATTTTAAAGATTTATAAATTCTTTTTAGAGGTGTTAAATATCAATATGATATTAATAATGATTATAAGTAACACTTAAGATAATTACTTAACTTTTTAATAAATAAAAAATAATTAAAATAATCATATAAAAATAGGGACTAAAAATAATAATATTAATTTATAAAAATAAAAAATAAAAAAAAATATTTTACAAGGACTAAAATAAAAATTTATGAATTTTTTTAAGTAAAGATAAGAAAGATTACAAAGATGGTCGCAATATGAATTGAACCTAAGTCATCATTCTTTTAATTATCTTAATTTCTCCTTACCCAACTACTAAGTTAATCTTAGTGGTCAAATTTATGAATTTTATTAAAATTAAAAATATATTTAAATCTTAATTTAATAATTATTTTTTCAAAATTTATAATTTTAATAAATTCTAATTAATAAGTGAGATGTGATGGAGAGTGTTATCCTAGCAATCATGAATCTAGTATAATGATATAGATGAAGAATTATTAGTTAGTTACCTGTAACGATATCTCTGAAGAATTCGACGGATTCCGTCAACTCGTGAGCGGATTTGGCAGTCCACTTATCGGCGAGGAAGGAAAGGGCGTCGTGTTGGAGGTAAACTCCGATGGCAGTGAATTTAACGAAATTGTCTTGAATTTGGAGGCCTCTGACGCCGGCGCCGCCCAGGAAGTGGGTGTTGGCGGAGGAGGGAGGCTTGACGGCGGGAGGGAATGGAACGTTCTCGACGTGTACGGCAGTAACAGATTCCGCTGCAGGAAAGGTCAGATTCTCGGGAAGGGCGACATTGTGGAGGACCTCTACAACGGTAACGGATGAGGGTGGTGTAGCCATTGTTATTGTTATTAGTATTGCTATTGATGGCTTCAATTGAAGTGAATCTGACAATGTATTCTAAATTTAAAGAGTGGTGGAAGGTGGGTAGGTAGGTACAGGAAATGCAACTTCAACACCAGCACCCACCAGTCAATGCAATCCTAACTTTTTTCTATCCTGTCAACTACTAATATTATTATTTTTATATAATAATCATATGGTTTAATTTTATAATAATTAATATTAAAAACCATATTATTAATAAAAAAAATTTATGGATTAACAATTTATTATGATAGTGCGTAAAACCTAAAGTTAAATGAAATATTAAAATGTTTTTAATAACATTTGGAAGAAGTTGGGGATTCGTGTGGTATACATTTATGTGTCGTGGAATAATATTTGGGATGCATTTAAACCAGCGTTGAAAAAAGAAGAGTATTATTTTCCTGGTGCTATGAGATTGCATTCATGTCTGATTTCCAAAAGGAAAGGAAAAGGAAAAGAAATTAAGTCAAATAAATGAATAAACGTAAAAGGTCAGGTAATGTTTTAGTTGAAAATTGCTTAATAGTCGGAAAATGAAATATTCTATTTTTAATACATGCACTTTAACATTTTCAGTTAATATTATTTTTTATATATATAAAAGAGCATTTCGTGCTTATATTCTTCGTATTAAATAGTATATTTGAATAGAAAAAGAAAATAATAATAATAATATAAAAAAAACAAATCTCAAGACTTTAATTTCAATAAATTGCTTCAAAGGTCAAAGATCTTTCATCTCGAATTCCTTTGTCAAATATTCTTTCAACACATTGCCTTTCTCTAGATCATCTCCTGTGTGACTGGACGAACCAAAAAAAAAAAAAAAATCATCTCCTGTGACTACCATGTTATAAATATAAACAATAAAAATTGTAATTTTTCCTCCTTTTTTTCCTTATAAACAAGGTATGGTCTTGGTTGCTCTATCAATATCCAAATGCAATCATTGACTTATTGAATCTACCAAATCACGCTCATGGTGATTGCTTTAGTTCGTGCAATGACCTCTTCAGCTTGCATGTCTTATTGCGATAGTTCCATATAAACTTCAAATATTTTTTCATGTAAGAAAACATTTTTTTCCATCAGTATTAACTTTTCTTGGTACAACTTATAACTTATTTGCACATTGTCATCTTTTCTTGGTATAACTTTATAACTTCTTTTCTCCAATCTGACCTCAGTATTAACTTCTTGAGGGATAAGAGTTTGAATTTCATCACGATTGTCTCCTTGAATTTTAGACTTGGGTGAAAAATACATCAATGTCTCATGAAAAATTACATCTATAGTAGTGAAAATTTGCTTGATTTGTGGATGGTAGCATCAATATCCTTTCTGATGAGCAGTATAGCCAAGGAACACACACTTTTCAACTCTAGGAGACAACTTACTTCTCTAATGCGTGTGTAAATGAACATAAGCGACACAACCAAATACTCTGTGTGTTAATTCAACGATTCTAGGACTTACTATTGCATCCATAAGTGATTGAAGAGGTGTTTTATACTCAAGAGATCTAGATAGTGTTTGGTTGATACTGTATACTGCACGTGAGAGCTTCTCCCCAATGTATTGCTCGCATGTGAGCTCCAATTTGTGCAGCTCAGACCACCTCCAATAGATGACGGTTATTTCATTTTGCCACGCCGTTTTGTTGTGGAGTTTTTGGGCAAGACCTCTAATGATCAATTCCTTTAACTATAAATTTTTTTTGAAGTTCTAATTGCATATACTCTCCTCCATTGTCACTACGTAGTATCTGAACTTGTGCTTTGTACTAAGTTTTAATCATTTTGCAAAAAATTTTAAATAGTCCTCCAACTTCACTTTTAGACTTCATCATACAAATCCAAGTCATTCAAGTACAATAATCAATAAGCGTTTAAACCATGTTGAGCCACCTAATGTTTAAACTTAAATGAACCGTATACATTAGAGTGAATAATGATAAATGAAAGAGAACTTTTATTTGAAATTAAAGGAAAAGAAGTTTTGTGACTCTTTGCAAGTTCACAAACATCACAATACAAAGTTAAAGTGTCTATTTGATCAAATACATTTGAAAATAATTTCTTTATGTAACCAAAAGATGCATGTCCTAAATGTTTATGTCATAACCAAATATCCTTGATCGCCTTTTCTTACTTCTTATGATTCTTTTATCGCTAACACTTGATCAAGCCTTTCTAAATCTTTTTTGTCGAATCCAGGAAATACAACCTTCATTGTCTAATACCACAACTAATCATTTTTCGCATTTGAATGATCTTAAAAACACAAGAGTCGAGCCCAAAAATTACAACACATAATAGGGTTTTGATTATTTAAGAGACTGACAATAAGTTATATTTTAGAGAAGGAACAATAATGACAGTATCAAGGTTCAAATTGTTTGAAATAGAGACATTTCCAAATATCAAGGATAGTGGGTAATCGAATATACCTTCCCATAAATGTAGGACAATTTTTTTCTCTCTACAATGTGCATCTCCATTAGTTGTGACCACACATCATAGTTGGATTCATTTAGGATGATGCTTATGCTGAAGACACCTTCAGATTGAATTACCACTAGAATTGATGTTTTTTATGCATCTCTCCAATGAAGATTTTCAAGGATTAGAAAAAAAAAATCTAAGCTTTGATACCAAATTAAAAAATAAAATAATTTCAATAATTTTCATTCATATATATATATATATATATATATATATTTTCAGTATACATAATACTTTATTTTACTCCTACAAATCAAGGACTAAATAAGAGAGTTTATACTAATCACAAACAAAATTAAAGAAGTCTTAATTATATATTTTGTATAGATATATAAACTTATAATTTAACTAATTAGATATCTTCATCTCAACACTCTTT